CCTAAACCCTCAACCCTAAACTCAAGCCAAAGCTCAGCAACATCAGGTTGTAATTCGTCACATCGTGCACTGACTCGAAGCTGGCACTGGCACCAATCCACCAGGTCTTTCGCTCTCCTGAAGACGTGGTTCCCCAAGGGTCTTAAGGGGTACTATAAGGGTTCCTTTTAAGGGATCTATAAGGGTTTTGGGTTTAGGGTTTGGGGTTTAGGGTTTGGGGTTTAGGGTTCAGGATTTAGGGTTTAGGGTTTAGGGGTTAGTAAACCCAAGGGTCCAAAGGACCCGGTAATCAGGTACTTAGGTTTCGGATAGTAGCTATGTAGGTTACTATTTGGGGGAGTATATGATTATTCGGTACTTGGACCCTTAGGGGTTTGAGAGTTTGAGAACCCTGACCTTACATCCTAAACCCTAAACTGCCCTAAACCCTAGACCATCGGTTTAGAGGTTCAGGGTTGCGGTTTGGGGTTTAGGGTTTAGGGTTTAGGGTTGAGGGCGTTCAGGGTTTCAGTTCAAGGCCTCTTCGATCGCCTGAAGATATGCTGGTAGGGGGTTTAGGGTTTAGGATTTAGGTTTTAGGGTTTAGCATAGGGCTCCTTTCAGGCGATTCCTTTCTTAGCGGGTGGTAGACTGTACGGGTTTCCATGCCGGCGGTATTTCATGGAGCAGAGTTTGAGGGGGTACTAGTATAGTCTAGGTTTAGGGTTTAGGGTTTAGGGTTTAGGGTTTAGGGTTTAGGGTTTAGGGTTTAGGGTTTAGGGTTTAGGGTTTAGGGTTTAGGGTTTAGGGTACAGTTATAGAAGGAGTGCCACAACCCCAACGCCCCAATCCCTCAGCCCCAAATCAACTCCCCTCCCCCCTAAACATCCCTTAACCCTAAAGCCACCTCCCCTGGACCCAACTTCCCTAAACCCCTCCCCAGGCCTTGCATCTCAAAGAGCTTCCAGGGGACTTTCTCATTGATGGCCGCTTGCGGGAAATGGTGGAAGTAGGGCCACGGAAACCTCAGTCTGAGGTTCGCTGGCTTCTTGTTAAGGGATTTAAATATTAAGTTACCATAGTAGGGCTCTATAGTAAATAAACATGGTCTCCCCATTATATGGGGTTCAATGTAAGTTACCATATTAGGGATCTTTTGTAAATAATAATATGGTTTCCTTATTGTGGTAGCTAAACCCTAAACCCTAAAATTGAATCCCCCTAACAAGAACCCATCTTTGGGCTCAGGGTCTCCGGCTGAGGACTTTTCATGGGCTTCAGTTTCGGGAAAGGTTTAAGGTTTGGGGTTTGGGGTTTGGGGTTTACGGTTTCGGGTTGAGGATTTAGGATTTAGGATTTGGGGTTTAGGGTTTAAGGAAGGGCTTGATGGATAAGAGCCTTTGGGGTCCGCGGGATCCGATGTATCATCGGGGCCCGAACGCCCGAACCCTGGTTCATCTTTGCACCCAACCACTTAAACCTAAGCGAAACCCTAGAGCCCAAGCCCTGCTGGACCTAAGCCGAAGGCCTAGGCACTTTTAGTGGGGGCCGGAGGGCTCACACCGACCAATGGGGGTTAGACCTTTGGGGTTTACGGTTTAGGTTTTGGGGTTTAGGGGTTTGGGGTTTGGGGTTTAGGTTTTAGGGTTTGGGATTAGGATTTGGGGTTTAGGTTTGAGGTTTGGAGTTTAGGGGTTTGGGGTTTAGGAGTGAGGGTTTCGGATTTTAGGGCTAGGGGTAAAGGTTTGGGGCTCAGGGCCCCTATGTCGAAACCTCCTGAGCCAAA